CCCCCCCATTTACTGTATTTAAACATTCGTGCCTTTGTTCTGTGCGGTCAAGTCGGAACCGACTTCTAGCAACCCTAGCAGGGCTTTCGAGGTTAAGTGAGATATTTAAGGAGGGGCTTTACCAGTTCCACACATGCCCCCCCCGTGAATTTCCATGACTGAGCAGGGGATTCGAACCGTGTCCTCCAGAGTCTTAGTCGGTCTCTCGATGCAGGAAACCACCCTGGCTATCCATTTATAGCCTGCCTGATACCACAAGATCTCAGGACTGGTTAGGAAACGGAAGAAACTAATTTTAGAACAAGATTAAAACACACAATTTAAAATCAAGGAGCACAAAATAAAAAAAATTAAAACCATTGCACTAAAACTAGCGCATGCCGCGATCCTCCAGCCCACAGGCTCTAAGGACGTCTTGACTTGGTGCTGCAATGATGCCAATGTGGGTACCAATCCAGTCTCCACATTTGGGCTGCTATGGCAGAAGAACCCACCCCCCCCCGCTTCCCCCTCTTCCCATAAGGGAATATTCTGGTTGTTCGGACCCTGCGGAAGAGCTCCGGGTCCCAGCAGCAGATCGCCCTAGCGATGGGTTCAGGGAGAAGCGCTCCCCCGTCTTCACAGAAGGGAATATTCTGGTTGTTCGGACCCTGCGGAAGAGCTCCGGGTCCCAGCAGCAGATCGCCCTAGCGATGGGTTCAGGGAGAAGCGCTCCTGCCAATACCCCGCCCCCTTCTTCTCTTCCTCCTCCTCCTCCTGAGTGACCTATGGGGGCTGCATGCCAGTCTCCGAGTGTCCGGCTGGCTTCCTCTGGTCCCTTCTGCCCTCAGGGTCCCTCTCGCCACCCCCACGAGCCAGGCCCTTGGGGAACAGATGGAACCAGAGAGCCCCCCCCCAATGGGGCCTGGGGAGCCCTGCCGGAGAGGACACAGAATCATGAATTTGGGCAGCCGGTGTTGGTCACCTCGCCTCGCCTCCCTGTCGAGAGGAGTGCGGCGGCGGAGGGTGCGGGTGGGCTTGGCTGCTGGCTCCCGGCCTCGACGCACGTTTCCCTCTTTCCTTGGACCTTCGGGACTTCTGAGGAGGCCCCGATGCCGCCGCCGCCGCCTCGATCGCGAGGGCCTGGGAAAAAGAGGAGCGCCTTTTCCACGGAGTGGGAGGAGAACGGCCCCTCCCTGAAGAGGCACAGCCATCGGCCCCCTCTTCTCCCCCCCCCCCCCCCCCCCCCCTTTTTTGGCTGCCCCCCCCTCATTCCCCGGGTGTTTTGAAGAGGGCCAACCCTGGGTCGCTTTGGGTAGTTTGACCGCCGCGTCTATTCGGCTTCTGTTCGCCTCCCTTGCCCAGCACCCTGCGCAGCACCCTCCCCCTCCCTCCCCCGGAGCCGCCCGCGCGGGTGAGCCGGGTGGCCCCTTCGGAAGAGGGTGCTAGGCTAGAAGGGCCGCCTTGGCCTGATCCGCCAGCTTTAGAGCCCGTCGTAGCTCTAACCCTAGGAGCGCCCGATGCCCAGGGCGAGGCCTTTGGCTGCCCGAGGGCAGGAGAGCGAAGGCTGCCACCCCGAGAGCCGACTCGCCTCCAGGTCCCGACCGCCAGCGGCAACCTGCCTTCAGGCGG